TGTCCTGAACCTCAGCGTAGGAACTGAACGCACAGTTTCACATATTTACTCCTCCTTTTCTCTGTCTTTGAGGCCAATTCTGGCTTTTTGACAACAGCAGCACAAACCATTTCACAGTCTTGAGAGGTACTCAGTGTGAACGAGCGATTCCTTCTGGCCTGTCTGAATTTGCAGGAGAAAAATGCAGACAAGTACAGTTTTCATTTCAGTATTTGATTTGCTTGTGTATATATGGTATATATACATATATATATAAGTATAGACACATGTAAGTTTTTATATACTTCATCCCTGTTGTTCATGCTGGTAATGTTGAAGATCCTGTGGGTGTCCAATGTGATTGCAGTTGAGATCACTACACTAGAAATAGGTGAGTCCAAGGCTGCTTTGCTTGAGACTCAAGAATGTTTTCCTGGAGGCTATGGGCTAGCTTCTCAAAAGATATTTTTTGCCTTATTCACATTTCAGTATTTCATTCATGCCTGCATGCTTGCAGATGGTGTTTTGTTGCTTGATATCAGCATGTTCCCATTTGACTCTTGGGGTTGCAGGGATCAATTTGGGCAGCTGTAACAAAAGGGCCAAAGAAACATGCTGACCGTGCATAAGGGATCTCATATGGCTGCTGCCCAATGAATTACTTGAGTTTTCTCTTGATGAACAAGTCAGATCCATCCCGGCTGTGTCTCCACCCTACACTCCAGCTGAGAACTGAGAAACACTTAGGACTTCCTGAGGGTAAAAAACCTATTGTTTGCAAGAAGAACTTCAGCCCAATGTGAGCGTTTGTAAGGCCTGGAATGCCTGGAGTTTTCTAGATCTAGGCTAGGATTTCATGTAGGGTGATGGGGCTGCAGGACACCTTGGGGGGTTCCGTGCTGGCCAAAGCGATGCCCCTTCTTTATTTACTCCCAAGGAGTTGCTCCTATCTTCTGCTGTGCCTGCTGTCTATTTGAGAATGGGGCTGCTGGTGAGCTGGAGCCGAGGTCAGCAATTTGGAGTAAGCCAAAATAAGCAGTCCCAGGTGATGGGACTTGGAGAATGAAATATTTTATGTGAACTGCACACCTAACAGGCTTCTATCAGAAAGTTTGCTGCTCTTCTTGGCTTTTCTCATTAGAAAGAAGATATTTCTCAGTTGAATGAGGCTGACTTGAGACATCTCATTTAATAGCTCTCAAGAATATAATTTCATCCACAGGTAGTTATAAGAAACCGCACACATCAGTAATAGAAGAGGTTTTTGCTTTGGGCAAAATATTTAAGCTATGGCTCTTCTGCTCATGCTGCTACATGGTATGCTCTAACAAATAGTTATTACAGAGAGCCACCTCCATAAATGTGAAACTGCTTTGTACGCAGAGTGATGAACAGGGAGTGAGGGGATGGGTAGATCCGCTCGATCTCACTCCAGCCGCCAGCATACGTACAGCCTGCACCTCCACGAGTTGCTGGTGCTTCTCTTCACAACTTGTGTCACGAATATATTTTCTTCATGGTTGTACTCATTAAAAATAAGCACCTGGGGTTTCGCAGAGCGCAAGGGTACAGGACTGAGTGGACCCACTGAGGTAAGGGCACTAATTACGGGAGGTAAGTCAGCAGGGCTTGAAGCGCTGCCAGATCACACAATGTGTTTTGGAGGGCTGTAACTCCAGGGGTTAGTTTGCGGTCAGAAAATAAAATTAGCATAAATATCCTAATAATTACTTGCCTTGTCTGTGGAATCAGATTGACAAGTCCTGTGGGGAGAAATAACTCCTTTAATGAGCCTTCGCAGAGGTGCTGAGTGCTGCACTTGTTCTCGCTGGTATAAACGTGAGCTTTTGGGCACGCATTGTGTCTGTCCTGGCTATTTTTGTTTGGAGAGAAAAAACAGGATGTAGAAGTGTGCGTTTATTTTCAGCTTTAGCAAAATAGGTGCATTCAGGAATACATCTTGTGCCTTTGCTTAAAACCCCCCGTGGTGAAAAACGCTGTGTGTGAGGAAGATGCCCAGGCTCCAATTCAATGACAAACTGAAGCCAAGCTTTTGCTGACCTGAACATTTTTTCGCTGATATGTAATAGGAGCAAGCCTTGTCCATCTTCTTGGGGATAGTTCAAAAATTATTGCTTGAGCCTTGAGTTTATTTGTGAAGCTGCCCACGTTACCCTCTTAGTGTGCTTTGAGAAAGGCTGTCTCGCTGTGCCAAGAAGGTGATGCCCCTCTGTAAGAGCTGGCTGTGCCATGGGCATCAATATCCTGTGGCCCCAGAGAGCGGTGAAGTGCTGGAACAGCTGCCCAGAGAGGTTGTGGATGCCCCGTCCCTGGAGCTGTTCAAGGCCAGGTTGGATGGGGCCCTGGGCAGCCTGGTCCAGTATTAGATATGGAAGTTGGTGGCTCTGCATGGGGCAGGGGGGTGGAGCTTGATGATCCTTGGGGTCCCTTCCAACCCAAATCATTCTTTGATTCTATGACATTCTCCACGCCAGCTCCCACGATGGCAGCACAGCAGAGCAGGCCCTGGTGAGGGGGCTGGGAGGCAGAACCTCACACTGTTCTCAATATTGATACTACGGTGTCACTGAGCAAGGCCAACCTGATGCTCTCGCCTGGTTTTGGTGGTCCACAAGGAGGGAAGGCGTCATCCTCTCCAAGAAACAAACCCTCTTCCCCTGACACAGAGAGTTCTGCTACACATCAATGATGCCAAGTGCTGAGAGAGGTGTTTTTGCAGAAAGCTGCTTTTGTTTGAAATCTGCAGCTCCGATTTTCACAGCAGATCTACTTTCCTAGAGCTCTGGGTCTTAAGCAGAGAGGAAAATCCCACTGCTTGCTCACATTTTTATTCCTCCGTATAATCCCTCTACTCAGTGCCACGCAGCGTCTTTTCCTGTACAGCAGCTTCTGGTTTCTGGAACTGCTTTCACATTTGGATCGTAATTGTAAGAACAAAAAAATCTTGTCAGAGCCCTTTCAGCCTGAGAGGTGCCCCAATGAACACCCCACAGTTTAGACTCTTGAAGTTAGCAGCTCCTTTCCAAATCCGGAATGAACACAAGCAGTTCTCCTTAGAAGTGTCCATCTCCCAGAAGCTGGGATGGGAGAACCTGACATTTGCTCATTTCTTCTTAAACACGCTTTTCTTTTCTGAATGAGCCGCTTGCTTTCTGTCTCCTCTTCCCCAGTTCCACCAAGGATTCTTTGTTTCTCCTTACTCTACATGTGTTTATCCCAATGCTGTTCCTCTTGGAACCATCTCCAGCATCTCAGATGCTGCTATTGGAGTGAAGTGGGAAGGTGGAAGCTCAGCACTCCGGAGTGCACTCGTGCACATTGACAGCAGGGCTCGGGGCTGCTGAACCCCTGGTGCTTTGTGTTCTACATATTCATAATGTGAGGATTTGCATGTTTTTACCATTTATTTTGTTTTCTGGTTCCTAGACTCTGCTCAAACAATGCAAATGGAATTATTGTTATTTGCTTTCTATTATAATTTTAAGAAACAGAGCTGGGAAAGAAAGCGTGGCATATGCCAGATTACCACAGCATTGCCCAAATCCCAAACCAAACACAAATTTGTGAGGCCGTGTCTGCTCAACTGACTGATCAGTGCTGAACAATGTTGCTGTATTCTTTGCATCCTAAATATCCCACCCTGAAAGCCCTTCTATGAAAATCCCAACCAGCTATTCCCTATATCCTGGCCTGTTGGCTCCTTTACACATCTCCTGAGGATTTCTGAGATATTCTGCAAAGGTGTGGGGTCAGGTGGAAGCTGTTAGAGGTGCTGTGCTCAGGGCTGCTCTGCTGCTGGAGGAGGAAGCAGCTCCTTTCAGCAGGGGCATGTGCTGATTCAGAAGCACCGTGGGAATGGAGACACTTCCTATCACCCAATGGATGATCTCACTGCCATTTCAAAGGGTCAAGTTTTTCTTTCAGGAATCCAGCCGTTGAGCCCAAGGAGGACTTCCAGCTATAACACCTGTGCATGTGTTATCTGATTAGATTAGCAACCTGTAGCTGAGAGCTACTGTCCTTCTATGGAATTACTGCTTAACCCACGCCACAGCTCAGGGCTCCTAGCAAGGTTTGTTGGCTCTGCAACGAGGGGCTGATGCACAGCAGGAGTCAGGAGAGGTGCAGGAAGGAAGGAGAAGGTGGGCAGGCTGCCTGAAAAGGGGAGAGCTGGGGATCAGCCCATGGCTGCTGAAGGGCCCACAGCTCAGCCGCAGCCCTGTGCCCTTGGAGTGCCTTGAGCCAGCCCTAATAGCTGGGATCAGCAGGAGTACAGTGCCTTAGGGCAGCTTAATGAAATCCAGCAGCTAACAGCCCCTACACCAGCAGCATCCGGCTGGGGCTGCGCGGCTCCACCACTGCTGACAGCCAAGTGAGGGGTGCAGTGTGGAAAACGGCACTTTTGTGTCAAAGCCATCTTCGTTTTTGAGACACGCTATTTGTTTTCTTTCTTCTCTCTCCCCTTATCTCTTATATTTGTTTCCACTATTTTGATTTTTACTAAATTTAAAGCATATTTATGCTGGAGGGGTGGCTCTGAAAGTGAGGTCACATCGCTGGTGTTCAGAGGCAGATGGCAGCTCCTTACTTGGGGAAAATTCTCTTTTGTTACAGCCAGACTTAAGACTTCCACAGGACTGCAGAAATTGGGTCAGCATTACTGCCCACCCTCCCTATTGCAATCAGCAGCCAGAGTTCTGCTCAGGGCAGGCCCACACCCCATGCCTGTGGCACAGCTGTGTTCATTATTAGCATGGCAGGCGTAGTGGTGATGGCCTAGGGGAAAAGCATCTCTGTGCTTCTCTGTTCTCCCCTGACTGCACAGGCACCTCGCTCCACTGTGTACCTTGCATACCTCTGTGGCCAGCTGCTGGCATCAGCCCCTCAAACACCTCTGAGCACTGCTGAGCCCCAACCTCACTGCGTGCTGCTTGCTAACAAGTGGGTGATGGGAGCAGGATGTCACAGGTGGCTGTCACCCGGCTGCAGGCAGGAGGGCTATGCCTCCGGTGCTCCTTCACGTCATCTATCTACCTCCCAAGTTTAGTTTCAGATCCTACTGCAAAAAAGCCACAACTTTGAAGACCAAGCACCGCACGTACGTGATCACGCACACAGCTCCGCAGCGTAACAGCAGGACAAGCCCTAAGCAGGACGTGCCGAGCCCCCGGTAACTGGCAGAGGGATGCGGCTGTCAGCCCGGAGGGGGGGGTCAACCCGCGGGTAGGAGCTGGGGCAGCGCTCTGGCAGCCTCCTCCCTCCGCCTCCCCATCCTCCCGTTCCCAGCCCTGCGGGTGCCGGCAGGGCGGGGCGAGGCGGGCTGGCGGCGGCTCCCGCGGGACTCCGACCCCCCCCGGCCCGGCGGCGGAGGGCGGGCGGAAGCGGCGCGGGCTGCACCTGCCGGGCTGCGCGGCTGGGCTGGGTTCGGCTCGGAGCGGTGCGGCGCGGCTCGGAGGAGCCATGCCAGCAGCCACTGCGCCGGGGCCGGACGAGCCGCGCACTGCTGCGCCCGGGCGGGACGGCGGCGGCCCCCGCGGGTACTCAGGTATGGGCACGGCGAGGTGCGGGACCCCAGCCCGGGTGGGGGTGCGGAGCTCTCAGAGCACGGCGCAGTCCTTCGCCGGGGCCGCGGGCGGAGAACGGGGGATCACCGCTGGTGCCGGGCCGGGCGCTCGGGAGCTAGTGTCCCCGCTTCAGCCCCCGGCACAGGAACGCTCCGGCGGTCACCCCAGTCGCGGTCAAGGGATACGGCCCGCGCTGGAGGCTGCGGTGCCCCAAATGGGCAGCACCGGCTGAATTCCGGAGGGTGAGAGTTCGCTCGCCCGGGTGCGGCGCGGGTCTGCGGGGGTCTGGCGGCGTGAAAGCGAGAGGCGCTCGGAGGGAAAGGTCCGGCACGTAGCGAGCGCTGCGCCGGGAGCCCGCGGAGCGAAAGAGCTTCCAACAGAGGCACGTTGACTGGGGAGAAAATGGAGATATCGGTGCTTTAATGAAATAGGGTGCTGCACCGAGGAGTAAAATGGGAAATGAATCACCGGTTTTTTGCTTCCTCTTCGCCCCCCGTCCCCCATCCAATCCTCCAGTTTCGTTACTCAACTCGATCCTGTGGAGCCCAGCAGCCTCTGTGAATCTCTTTGGGGGCGATTAACTTGATGGTAATGGGAGCTGATAGAAGGTCCGGCCCTAACGCCGTGACCTCCGCACGACGCGGGGTCCGAGGAGATGCGGGGGGAAGCGGCAGCGGGGCCGAGCGGCTGCGGGTTCACCGCGCCTATCCGCGCTGCTGCGCGCGGTGCTCCGCGTCTCCCCGTGCCACGCAGCGCTCCCGGAACGCGGAGCCGTCCCCGCACTGCCCGTCTGGCTGTGGTCTCATCTGTCTGTGCGCTCCTCACGGGCGCTGTCGATGAGCCGGGTTTTATTACGTCGACAAAAAGAAGCAAACATCTCCGGGCTGACGGCGTAGCGGCGCTTTAGGTCGCATCCGCTTAAATGTGCTTAACTGTGCATTTAATTTGAATTTAATAGAGCAGTTCATTTTGAAAATATGGAGCGGGCTCTGGGAAACATACTTGAGAATTAACAATTCGAATGCGAGCTGCTCTAATTTTTGCTATTGTTACTAATTATTGAGCTTTTTGTCTGCTGTAAAATAGTGTGTCGTTGGCTGCTCGTGTTGGTTGTGCCCTGCTGTGCCCGCAGTAAGGAGTACTGGGCAGGGCATGGCCCATGTTGTGCTCAGCCCTCTGATCCCACATAATCTTGTCCTGTGCTGATCTGTGGCAGGGCTCCCAGAGATGTGGGATCCGTGACAAACAAATGGCAGCCAGCCTGGAATCCCCTCAGTTAATGCCTTGGGTGTTTGCAAACCTGACTGCGGGGTCAAACTGCATCACTACATTCCTCACCTAGAAAACACGAGCATTTTACAGTCTGTACTTTTGAAGCCAGAAGAAGAGAATATAGCATTATGTGTGTTGCAGGGCTGTTCAGGAGACATTTCTCCCATTAGTAAAGAAGAGGATTTTTGGGGCTTTGTGTGGAGAGGCTGAAAGGGAGAAACCTGTATCAGGGCAGGGATGGCTGTGCAGTGCTCTCCCAGCTGGGTCCAACCAGAACAACCAGCACTGCCCTCCCCAGACCTGCTGCACCAGTGGTGTGGGCCAGAGGACCCAGAGAGGTGCTGAATTGGAGTCAAAAGGGCTGAAAGGAGCAGGGTATAGATGTGCCTGCATGCAGGTCTGCAGCTGTGGGGCCAATGGGCTAGCTGGCAGTGGGTCAGCAGTTCTTCTGCAAGTGCTCCTATTGCACCTTACCGCTCTGGAGGTCTGCATACTTCTCAATTGGTTGCTGCATGTGGCTGAGTGCTTTAGATTGGTAAATTATGGCTACTTGTACAGTTTTAAATTAAACTCTTGCTTGGGATGCTTAATTTAAAGTGGGACATGTTATTCATGCAGCGATATTTGCAGGAGAAGTGACCTCTAGGGAGAGCTGATGACAACTACTGTGTTTTTCATTTATCGTGTCCTTATTGGTGATCATTTTTCATTGCGGCTTTGATTAAGTAATATTTCCAGCCCGGAATGGCAGCACGGACAGATGCCCTCATGCACTCCTGCAGCGGATGAACAGAAATGCTTCAAGGTTTCCATTTGAATTAGTCTCTGTATGGGAAAGAAGTTAGGAGAAGTTCATTGCAGTCTGATACTTGACCACTTAGGGCTCCGACAGCCTCGTGCAGGATAGATGTGTGGTGATGGTGTGCCCGGCTCCTCCCACTCCTGCTGCCTCCCTCACTCAGGATACTGAGTGCAGACCCAGCAGGGTGATTGCAGGCTCTGTCTGGAGAAACAGCAGAACTGCTCATGTAAGGGCTGACTGAGGCTTCCTGCCTGTCAGGAAGGCAAGGACGGCCCCGTGGCTGCGGAGCCGCAGCGAGCCCTGCGCTGGTTGTGTCGCTGGGGCTGTGCTGGGCTCCGGCTGGGTGGTACCCGAGCAGGCACATCAGTGCAGCCACAAAGAAAGCCAACAGAGGAAAGAAACATAAAGCACGCTGGAAATATTTCTGTGCAGGACTGTGGTCCAGATGGGTCTCTTGCTGCTGAACTCTTGGCAGTTGTGGTTCAGTTTTGTCCCTCTGCCTTCCTGCACCAGGAAGGAGACTGCCTGCAGTGCAGCTGGGCAGTGTGCTGCAGGAGGCTGTGAGCAGTGTGTCCCGCTGGGCTCCTGGGAGAGGTCACCTGGCAGGCAGCTCTGAGGGAAAGGCCCCGTCTCTGGGTTGGGACCGACTTAGGCTGCATTTTGCTGGGGGAGATATCCCTGTGTACGTGCTCTGGGTGGCTGTTGTGGCCCTGCTGGTGTGCACAAGGCTGGGTGTGCCTTTGGTGTCCCTCGAGGTATCGGTTCTTTTGTTACAAGCAGGTTTTTTTGCACTGAGTTTATCTCTGCCGGTGCAGCAACTGAAGACGCGTCACTGTGAGCTTCTGGTTGCTCTTCCAGGAAAGCAAAGGCAAAGCTGTGCTTCAGAGCCACAAGTGCTGCACATGGTGGTGAGCTGGGTCCCAGCTCCTTGCTCTGGTCCCTACCTCAGTTTTTAGGCAGGCGGAGAAAATGTTCATCCTGAATTTCCATCCTGCAGGGCAGAAGGTGAGGTGACCTGGAGTGCATAGGCTTGTAACCTCCACTTCCTTTTTCTCCCATGAGATCAAAGTGAAACCTTTTATTAAATAAGATACCTGAAGTGGCAGTCACAGATTTCCAGCCACACTTCAGCTCCTGTACTGCAGGATGCGAATCTCAGCGGCTGTGCATTTGCACCAGGCGTTGTTACTGCTTTGAGAGAATGATTTTCATACTTGTCATGAAAACTCTAGAATGGTGCAAAATAGAGAAGAAGAGTTATGAGGTCGTCTACCACAGTCCTCCACAGCACAAGATTGTTCCCTGCTGTATTCTCCAATACCTTGTCCAGGCTGCTTCTAAATTACCTAGATATAGAGATGAATTATGTCTAGGCTTACAACTTTCTGTGAGGGAATGAAATGAGCCGAATGTCTTGGACCCAACACGCTGATGTTTCACGAATCAGAAGTCAGCTTCACACCATAAAGCCCAAACCACCCAAACTCAACCTGGGCTGGATGTGGTGGGATCTGGTGTGGTGGACTTAGGTGGGCCTGCTGCCCGGCTGCTCCTGCTGAGCTGAGCTGGGGGCCCATGGGCTCCCATCAGAAATCAGCATGATGTACTCAGCCTATTGGTCAGTGCTGATGGAGCCGGCACCGCAGCGTTTTGCCTTCAATCAATTGACAGGGACAAGGCAGCATGTGGGATAGTTGCTGGTTTGCACTTGGCCTTCTTATTGTCATGCTGTCTTTCAAATGCTGTTGCAGATAAGCAGCTGTGCTACTGTGCAAAGCAGTTTGGACTGGTGCCGTGGGCCTGAAGAGCGACGGGAAGAGGATTTTGCATTTGCAGGAAGCCTGCCTGCCTTGCTTTTTGTTTTGTCTTCAGATGACGGTGAGAAATGCAGAAGTTGCAGAAAGAGCAAGTGCTCACCAAAGTAAATCAATGGGTGCCTGGTTTGATAGCAGTTTGCTGGCAGCAGAGCCATATGCAGGTGCAGGGCCGGCCCAGCACCCCGCTTCTCGCTTTGTAGGGGAAGAGGATTGGTTAACTGCTTGCCTTTCCTGTAGTGCAGCCATAAGCAATTAACGGGCCACAGTAAAGGAGCCCCTCCCCTATTGAGGGCAGGCTGAGAGCTGGGGCTGTTGAGCGTGGAGGAGAGAAGGCTCCAGGGAGAACTGAGAGTGGCCTGTCAGGATCTAAGGGGGCTGTAAGAAAGAAGGGAAGAGGCTCTTTAGTGGGGTCTGTGTAATAGGACAAGGGGAAATGGTTTTGAACTAAAAGAGGGGAGATTTAGATTGGACATGAAGAAGTTCTTTGCACTAAGAGTGATGAGGCTCTGTCACAAGCTGCCCAGAGAAGTGGTCGTGCCCCATCCCAGGGACACATGGTCAGGCTGGATGGGGCTGTGAGCACCTGATGGAGCTGTGGGTGTCCCTGTTTGTTGCAGGAGAGTTGGACCAGGTGAACATTAAGAGTCCCTTCTAACTCAAACTGTGATTCTAGGACAGTGTGGTTTTGTGCAAGCAAGGAGGAGCTGCAGTGCGCAGCCATCACTGTTAAAGCAGACAGAGCTAAGTATTTCCCTCTTTGTAAATACAGCTATGGGCTGTCCCTGCCTGCTGTGCTGCCAGGATATGCAGCCTTCCTAGAGCTGCCAGCAGTGTATCTGGCTCAGACCGCAGTGTCGCGGATGTGTGCCGTGCCAGGAGGGCTGCCCTTTGGTCTGCTTGCCTCAGCCAGTTGTCACTGTGTGTAACCCACCTGCAATCATTTAGTGCTTTAATCGACACCATAAACACAATGGAGTGGTTCCTTGTCCTTACGCTGCTGTCCCCATCCATCTTCATGTCATCTTCCACTGGCTCCTAGGGCTGGGGAGGCTGCGAGCAGCTGTGCTGATGGATTGCCACTGTGAATCACTGCCCTCGGCACAACCTGGCCAGAAGAGCCGGCCTGGCAGCAGGGAGATGGGAGAGACCAGAAGCCATGAAACCATGCAGGAGGTTCTTAAGTCTGACTGTTATTTTCTCAGTTCATGAATGATTTCTATCAGCACAGTAAATCGTGTGCTATTGCTAACTCTTTCAGACCAGTGTCTAAAAAAATCAATTATTCACAGAAATTCTTGCTGACAGTTGTGAGTGTCAGGACACAGTTCTCTGGTGTGCAGTTAGCAGCTTCAAATAGCAAACTGAGAAAGGAACAGTAAAGGGGAGAAGTGCAGGCTGCAAATCCAACGCTCAGGTGGGTTCCTGTAGCTGGAAGCCATGGGGATGGGCAGAAGGTTTCTTTTCAAATAAATGTTTTGTGCAAATTTGTTCTTATGCCCAGTTGTTTAGGGCCAAAAGTGAATGCTTCTATTGAAGGCAAAAAGCTTTTTTCATCTTCCCAAGCTCTCCTTTTGGGGTGGGTTTTGCAGTTAGCTCAGACCCAGGTTCCAGTGCCATCCAGCAGAGGTTGTCATGGGGCAGTTGTCATGTGGAGTGAGCAGCTTCTTCATCTGCTCTTATCAGTGACAATGCCAGCTGCTCGAGGCAGATAGCCCTCAGCTGCAGTGAGGTGTGCCCAGCGTGTGGCTGCACTTGGTAGTGAGTGGGGGGCATCCTGGGGCTGTGTCACAGCACTGCCATATAGATCCAGGTGGGCCTGGCAGCGCTACACAGTGAGAGCAGCAGCCCTTGCCCTGCCCAAATGTATGGCAGGATTTGGATTTGTACCTGCTTGCTTGCAGGTTCAATGTAAAATCGCTGAAGTTAGGTGTGTAAAACAAAAATTAAGAAATTCATCTCCTATGAAGAGAAAAAGCCAAATGGTTTTACAGGTTTTAGCACCTCCTTAGGGGTGCTAAACCACTGTGCAGGTGAAAAGCCACAGAGATGAAGCATTTTCTGACAGCAAGGCCTTGTCTTGGAGCCACTGGTAGGACTGGTGCTAGTGATGTATTTGTGTTAGAACTAGCTGGACGATGTGGTTTTGGCATTTTAAAGTGAACAAAAGTGAAAGGCTGATTCCACCAGAGCATCTGCTTTTAGTCAGAAGGTTCAGGTTGTCAGATTTCTACAAGAAAGCGCCTGGAGATGTCTCCAGACCTCAGAAATGCCTATCAGCAACATGGTCAATCAATATATATATATATTTATGTAATGTAAAAAGTGCTCAGCTCTGACATTGTGGCATCATCAGTTTTTGTCCATAAAGCCTTTTATAGGAATGGTTTGAGCTCTGCTTTCCTGCCCGAGGTGTGCACACCGTTTGCTGTGTTCACCCATTCTTTTTTGGCCTGTGATTACTTGCTGGTAAAGAGAATGAAGCTGCCTGTAAATACTGGCAAGGCTGCTAGCGTTCATGGGCTCTTGGTTATCTCTGCAAGAAGGGAGGGCGTTGAGATAAGGAGAGCATAGTGAATGGTTTGCTGAAGATTGGAGGCTCCTAAAGCTTGCCTGCTTTCCCACAAATACCTGATCCATGTTAGTGAGGTGCTAACTACCAAGCTGGGTGCTTGGTACGTGGATTTCCCAGCATTCTGTAGAGGATTCTCTACAGTTTATTCAGTTTATTTAGCTCCATCTGCCTCAGCACATCTTATACAATCGGGGTCTGAGCAAGTGCAGGTGAAAAGCTCAATTCAAATTATTCCTTACAATTTTATCCCCTTTTGAGTTTTATTCTAGAAAGTAGGGCACAAACTGTGTGTTCTGCAAGTTGCATTGTTTATTTATCACCTGCTTTGGGGTGACAAATTGAGGAGCCCATCAGTAGCTCCATTCACTGAGCAGTCAAAAAGCAGCTGTCGGGTCTTTTTTGTTTGCGAACAGTTCACGTCAAGGCACAGTTCTGGTGTGCTCCATAGTGGATGCTTGGTTGATTATTATTTTTTCCACTTTCATTCTTTTTAATATGGAAATAAGGGCGATAATATGGAGAAAAGAGGGAGAGATGAATGCTTCACATTTGCCGTGTGGACCCTTCCTGTTCAGTTAAACTGTTAACTCTTCAGAAGTGCCATAACCCACTTTCTCAGTTCTGTTGGAAAACAGGGTAATAATGTGCAGAAAACCCATCTGTTCTTGTTTCTTGCTTTACTGGGGCCTTCATCAAATACCTCATTTTCCATCGAGTTCTTTTTTCTCAATTAATCTTTCCCATAAGAAACATATTCAGTATTGTCCTTGTTGCTAGATCCCAGAGTAAAATCTACAGATGAGAATAACCTGACTTTGATGTAAATTGGCAAAAAAAAAATCAATCACAGAGATGGCAGTACAGCGACTGGAACAAATCCTCGCTTAAGAGTAACATGAAAGACGCAAATAAGAATCATTTTACACCAATTCCAAATGTTATTTATGTTTGAAATGGGAGTGGATTGTGCGTGCTGTCAGCACACCCTAGCCTAGCATCTCGGTGATGTGTGACTTGGCTTTGGCATGGATTAAAGCTGCTCACAGCCCTGCAGACAGGGAGCATTTCAGAGCTGGGAAGTGCTTAGTGCTGACTCCTAAATCTCACTGCAGCTTGTTTGATGCACCAAGGCAAAAAAGCTAGATGAAAAATACTGGGAGGACAGAAGGGAATCTGCCCATCAGTCCTTTCTCCTGTCCCTGCTCCAACCCTTCAGGTCCTGTGGTCTGAATGGATCTCAGCTCTCCATAGCCCTGAATGGACCACCAAAAGGGAAGCTCCCTTTGTGCCACCATGCTCTGCCATCATTGCTGTGTTGCAAGCAGTGCATTGAAAAGTCAGTTTTCAGCAGGAAAGAATGAGGGAAAGCCGTCGAGAGGAGCAAGCCTGAGTTTTGGGCTTGCATGTGATGGCAAGTGGGCTCTTCTTACGTATGCAATCCAGTTAGAGTCTATTGGCTGCAAAATGGTTAACTTAATCTCTAATTACAGTTTGCTAACCAGATCTTTAGCTGCTGGTACACAGTAACAGGGAATGCTGCCTGGTCCTCAAATGTTTTGGAGGTGTGTGGGCTATGGGTGTGTTCCCTCTCTTCCCTCTCTTCCTTCGTCCTCCCATGGCAAGCTTTTCCAAGAGCTCCTCTGCGAGCTTGCTGTGGATGTTCGACATTACGCCTGTGACTTTAGGAACAGTAGTTTCTAATGCGTGCTTTTCTAAGAAAATAGACTTGCAGAAATAATATCATCAGCCTGCTGAGTTTCTTCGGGTTTTATAGAACCTAATGTTCTGTCTATTTCTGGCATCTGGCTATTACAGCATGTTTTAGTTGCATTAAGTAGTCAACAATAAGCAAAGCAAAAGCTTGAATTATGCGTGTATGGAAATAATGAGGCGAAGTCACGGATGGCTCTATTTCTGCACAGACAGCAAGTGGCTATCTTAACAAAATGCTTTCAGATAGCTGCTGCTGTATTTTAGATCATTTTGGCATATACGTATGCAATGTATTTGATTTCCATTTGCTGTGTTTTGCTGTGTAGAGGGAGAAGGAGCACAGGCAATGTGTAATGGGCAAGCGTTCTTCAGTTACTCTCTCATTCTGTTTCCTTATCAGCAAAACATAAATCTGCAGCATGCTGACAATGAAACCATATGGTAACTCTTCCTGACGAATTGATTTTGCAATACAGACGACCCTGTGTCTGCATGGAAAGAGGCTTTTTGGATTATTTTGTCTTAATTCTCACATTACTCTTTAAGTTTCAGCACCTGGAAATTATATATTTGGATGTTTCTGAACTCAGTGGTTTGTGTGAATTAAGAATTAACAGAGCATGCTCAACTTTAGTGTTTTTACTTTGGGGGCAGTTATTTGTCATGTGAAATAATGTGCTTATTTGCTATAGCCAGTGCCCTCCTGTCTTGTCAGACAGCAGCTTCAGATTCCGACACTTTCTGAGTGTCAAATATCCTCTTAGTGTGAACTGAAGAAATGCATGGTATGAAGGATCTCTTTCTTTACAAGAGCGTGCATGTGTGCCCATAGGATACTTATGGTAGTTGGCTCCTTATGCCCAAACTGGCCCATTGATGGCCTCTGGTCTGCGATGACTGCAGCTGAAGCAATGCTTTGGGTGGTGGGCAACATGGATGAGGTGCTTTGTGAGTCCTGTGCAGTGCGTGGATGAACCAGCAGTTCTCTTCACAGCTTCTCTTAGAGCTCAAAATCAAGAAGTGATTTTCACCCTTTGCTTAGTAGGGGTGAGTGAGTTTTCTTCTTGTGCTTAGAAGTAGCAGCCTGTATCTGAAAATGTAAGCAGAGCACAACCTGGGACTGGCGAACAACTTATGAGTCATGGGAACTAGGTTTGGGAGACACATCAAATCTAGGAGGGAAGCCATGAAGCTAATCAAAACTGAACAGCACATCATGGCTGGGGATGTTTATTGTGAACTGCTCACACATGGCTGATAGGCTCACGGTAATGCCTTGCACAGTCCTCCCAGCTGTAAGTGCTGCCTGCCAAGCATCACTCTGTGGGGCTTGAGATTCAGCTGTTGCAAAAGTGAAATAAGCAATATTTATGGCTCTTATTCGACATTACATTTCTGACTAGTGACAGTTACTGCAATCCAAGGCTTGATATTTTCTAGATATTTAGAAAATAAATACAAATCGAGATGTAAACCTGGCCAGTGCGAGTGTCTGTGCAGTGTTGGTGTTTTACTTCAGCAGAAAATGCAGCCTCCATCACAGACCTCAGCTGAAAACAAAAATTCCTCCTTGTAGCAGGTGTTGTCAAACAAGCATGCCTGGAGAGCATTCAAAGGCTAGATCCATGCAGAACATCTCCTTGTACAGATACGAGGGTGGAAGCACACTGAAACAGTAATTTTCAAGAAGTGGAAGGATAAAAGTAAGCTGGCAGAAGAGTGGGTGCAATGAGTAACTGCAAGGACTTCATGGATCATTAATAGAAAGGGATGCTGGAGCTCACAAGAGAGATTCGCAAATGAATTATTAGAAGACTATTGCCAAAGAAAATTAGGGCAAATCTGATCCAGTGGTTTTAAATCTGAACTTGGATAAAATTCAGAAGCTCGTACTGGCAAAAGTCCCATCTGTGTCTTTCAATAAAAGCTCTTATTTAAAGGAAAAAAAAAAAAAAGTCTTTAATGTTTTGATGCTGGCCAAAGAAGAAATGGTATTGAAAAGCTCTAAGAAGAAGAAGAAACAGCATTTCTTGTATGGCCAGATGCAGATATGTGGAGTACAGGTGATGAACGTTTAGCTAAGGTTCTGTGTAAACACAAGCATAGGAGCTTTCAAAATTTTGTCACTCATTGGATGTTGTCAAGAGGAGACTCAGAATTACTGCCTCAGTTACATCTGTGCAGGAATGTCATCTGGGGATGACATAATGCTATTACAGCACTGGCCAAAGCAAGGAAATAACCACAGCTTAATGGCACTCTGGCAAACGAGTGGCTGTTGCAGATCTCTGCAGTGATCAAGTGAAGGAAGTATTTTTAAATAATAATGACAAAAGGTCACTGACATTCTGAGGTTTTAATCATTCAACATATGCAATTATGGGCAAGGACAATGCAGGCAAGTGTAAAAGTGCTGGCAACAGCCATGTGTTAGTCAGAATGACCAATGGTGGATTAAAGATTAAAAAAAAAAAACTTGGAAGAAAACATCAAGAGACAAATTATCTGTTCTTTGGCTGTGTAATGATTCCAGGTAAAATGGCAAGTCTGCTGAAAGAGTCTAATGAGGACTGCTTAGGAGGCTGAGGGAATGTAACTTGAATCAGACTTGGCTCTGAGATACTTTCTGCATCTCTTGCAGCTAGAAGTGTCACTGTATGAGCTCTAAGTATGTGATCTGGTACCTAAATATGCCTTGAAACTGTAAAATGCAATGATGTGGGTCTTTTGCAGCTTATGATTGTGGCTTTTCAGAGCATCTTGGGTGTTTAAGGTGAAGAGAGAAGCTGGTCCCACTCCAAAGTGAGGTAGAAGATGGTCCAGCTCACACATCAGTGTGTTCCAGCGTCAGATGTTGGAAGAAAGGACAGGAGATAAGGGAAATGACACTCTAGAAAAGATTTGCTCTTGTAAAGGCAAGTTGCTGCCATTGTGAGGGGCTGAAAGAGAAGGCAAAACGAGCAGTAATAACCTATATGGAATTAAGAAAGGCATGTTTTTAAAATGCAGTCCTCAGTGCGTATTTACTTAGATTAGACCAGTAATTGACTCTGTGGTTTTATTGGTGTTTTGCTGAGATTCCTCTGGTTTTGGTTTTCCAGGGATTGGGTTTTTTAAGAGTGTAGACTGAAGATGAGTCAGTAGTAAGCCCATCTCCTGCAGTTTGATCAGAGCAGCTTAGAGTTAATTAATGACTGGAGGGTTTTTTGGTATGAAAAAATGAAATAGATTTGATATCAACATTGCAGCTCTGTCCAAGTGTTCTTGAGGAGACTATTAAAACTCTCAATTTCTTTCTATTTGTACATGTGGAAGGCATATTTTTCTTTCCTTTATTATCTTCTATGCCATCTTGGTGTTTGCCGCTCTGGCCTTGCAAGAGCAATCCCATTGCCTCTGAGCTGCCCATGGCCCTGCTGAAGTCATCTGGAAATCAGCTGAGAGAAGGGAAATTTGGTTTCTGATGCAGAAGCAATGGTGCTATTAAGTAAGTGAGTGTTAGACATAATAAATAAGTAAATAAATAAAGCAATTCTCAGGTTCTGTCAGTGCACAGGTACAGGAATGGAAAAATGCAGTTGTTGTTATTGAAGTATAGTTGGATATTAGGTGTTGCCTTCATGACTGACCATTAACATTTATGTTAAAAATGAATGAAACAAGGAATATTGTGGCAACAAAACTTGATGTATAAAGCTAGCGGGTAACAGTATGTTGCTGAGAGGAGAATAACTCAAAGAACAGCTGTATGTGCTGCAAAAAATAGAAAGAGAAAAGCCAAAAGGAAAAAATGTATAACGCATGAGTGATACAGAAGTGTTTGTGAATGGAGATGAAGATGTGATGTCTCTCTTTGGCCACTTTTCTCCTTTTCCCCTCCATGTGCAAAGGCTGTAAGAGTTGTCAGCTCAGCCAGCGCTAGCAGAGGTGCAGTAGTCTCTGAACATGAGAAGATTCTTTAAGGTTGTGATAAGAGGCTACCATATAGACTGGGGTGCTGGAGGATGTGGTCAGTCCATTAGGTCTTGGAAAGTTTGTGTGAGAGAGGATGTGTCATGAATGTTCCCTGAATGGAAAATGCCATCCTGAGTACTTAATTAAACACAGAGCCCAGCAATATGAGAACGCGTCCAATGAGACCATGCCACTCATAGATCAAATTCTGTTTTGTTTGAGTTTGCCTGGTTTTATTTGTTTGGTTTTAATGTTCATTGTGTAAAAGAAGCTGTGTAACATCATAAGTGAACCCCATTGCATGGGGTGGAGAGCAGAGGAGCTTCTGGCTGGCGTTACAGGGACTGGCTATGGACTGGCACCTGGCAGAGCAAGCAACATTGCCTGTGCAGAGCTTTATTCCTTGCTTTGCCCATTAACTTGGGCTGATTTAAAATATGATTATGATCAACCAACCAAAGTGAACCTCCACTTTCTGCTCTCATTTTGCGTTGCCTCGTGTATTTGTTCTGCAGGGCAGTGCAGCCATGTACTCCCTCCCCAGCTGGGCACCCTGCAGATCATTCATGGCAATGGCACAGCCGTCGGGACGGTCATCGCCTTCCAGTGTGCGGCCGAGCACCAGCTGGAGGGGCCGGGCGTCATCACCTGCATATGGAAGGGGAACGATACCCAGTGGACGGCAGAAGTGCCCTCCTGCAAGCGTAAGGCTCTTCCAGAACCATTCCCAGTCCCTCTGGGCTGCAGTGTAGTTATTTAGCTTTGTGTACCTCCTACAACCTGAGGATTAATTCTAGACATCTGTGCAAGAAAAAAGACAAATTCAATTTCCTTCAAAGTTGCCCCCGCTGACTGTAATTGCGCTCCATATGTGTTCTGACATCGTTAATTATTGTGACATTGAAAAGGCTCCATCGGATTTCTGCCTGATCTTACATCACCGGCTCTGGTAGAGTTGCACCCGGAACAAACGTGGCTCTGTAACTACAGGGTGTTCTGTTCTTTACGAACATCTCTTGTAGAGATATGACCAACTAATCTGCATATGTATTTGCAGACCTCTAATCTGCTGGCTTTCATTTCTGAAGATAACTTGCTGTAAAAGAAACACAGCAATATTTTTCAGCAATATCAGGCTGTTGCCTGTGGGAAGCTGCATGGGAAAGTTACCATATTAACAAATAGCATTTGAATGGCACATCATTAATTAACTTTCATGCTGTGTTTCTTCTTATTTATTATAAAACAGTTAGTAATTTGACTGGAAGTAGACTCGAGCAAAAATCTACTGCATGGTACTCTGAGCTGAGCTTTGTAGTATCTGAATTGGGGAGCTCAGTTGGTATGTCAGATTTGTATCATTTTAAATCATTGGTAATTGGGTAGCTCTTTAGACTCTTATCAGTCCTTCTGAAATTCAGGTGTTCATATCTCTGATTTAAGAGACTCCAGTAAAGAAAATAAATGACAGAAACCCTCCACTTTGTGTAGAGCTGAACCATTCCTTGTGCTGGTATTCATGTTGGAAGAACTAGATGAGTTCTGAAGTGAGATATGTTTAGAGCTCAAAACAAGGTGGCAGAGGTCTGCATTAGCTTTGTCATACCGCATTCTCACTCCTCTTTTGTCTGGATAAACTCATTTCTGATGTCAGATCACTTGAATACATAGCCTTACAGATATCACCCTTCCATCCCCAAACAGAGGAAGACCAGTTGGTCACTTCCTGGCATATGGCATACCAAAACATAGAGCCATCCTCAGTATAAAAGGCTTCTTTAAACCCACATACCCTTCAGTGTTTGTGTTTGCACTTCCACTCCTTGTCAGTCATTGATTAAAACAGTCTGGTAGCTCATCTGCATTTGTTAGACCGACCAAGTTGTGCTTTTTAGTTGCAGTGCTAAAGGCATTGTGTTTAACTGCAATGCTAAAATACTTGTGAACAATGACTTATAAACAGGAATTTTTAATTAGCCCAGTTTAAGATCTGTGTAGCTTTAGGTTGAAGCCAAGATTCTTCAATATTGTAACACATGCTTAACACTGAGCTGTTATTAGCATAAGTGTAAAGCAGGTAGTTTTCAGCATGGTTTAATGAAAATATGAGAGGTAAATGTGTTGACCTCAGAAATGTTCTCCTGTGTTTGCCTTGCTGCAGCCATATCGAAGTATGAGACTTTTGGATTTAAAGTTGCAGTGATTGCTTCCATCGTGAGCTGTGCCATCATTCTGCTGATGTCCATGGCTTTTTTAACCTGCTGTCTCATCAAGTGTGTGAAGAAAAGTGAAAGGAGAAGGACTGAAAGGTATGTCAAGAGAAGGTTTTTAGACCTGGCATAAAAGGTGTACGCCATGTGCACTCCATTGCTGTGATAGCACAGAGCTCCTTTCCAGGACTTGATGCTTAGAACACCATGATGATGTAAACTACTTGATCCTTCATTTGTAGAGGAGAACTTAGGCAAAGGAAAATGTAAAATCAGAAGTATTTAGGTGCCTATTTTTTTTAATATTGAATGACTAAAGTGGACCTGGACAGATCTAGATCTACCCAGAATTATGCAGGAGCTGAACATACAAGTCTTGCTCTCTGGCCCAGTCTCTCTCTCCTTGAATTACTTAAGTTTGGCTGTATCTTCACTTCTCTTCTTCTCTCTCTTCCTTTTTATTCCTTTACTCTCATCGAACTCCTCTGGGAAATCCAATCTACCATGTCAAAACCATCAAAGCCTTCACCATCTGCAAAGTGTGCTTAGTGCTGTCACACAGATGCCACGAACGAGAGCTGGAAAGACTTAGGATTTTGTCATGCGGCTTGAAGCATGAGACAGTGGGCAGAATTACAAACAGACAAGGAAAGAAGTAAAATTTATTCATCCAGTCCATTATAAAAACGTATTGTGAAGGATGACCGAGTGACCAAATGTGTCTGAATGCTAAATTCAAGCAGTTGTTGTTCATGAGAGCATCCACTCAAATTTACCTGCTGCAAAAAGTGTTCTATGTGCACCTGTGCTTCATTTCCTTCTCACTTTTCCCTTCTTCTCCCAGTGGGCTGGCTGCTCCCAGCTGAAGCCAATGAGCTGCACTTCTTGTTGATTTTTAGCCACCTCTTGCTTCAAAGAAGCATTTGAAGTGAGGTAACGGAGAGGACCCAAGTGAAGGTCTCTGTGCTCTGAGCTGTGTTTTATCCAGACCTGGGTGGGAGCCAGACCTTCTCTTTGGGGAAAAATTCTGTAATTTCAAAATCTGACTGAAGCCAAAATATGAATTTTTTTTCCTCATTTCCCTTGAAAGGATTTTGCATGGCAAAGAAGCCTTTGGTGTCATTCATAGTATTAGGTTTTCACTCACAGCATGAAATAAATTTTGAAATGAAAAGGATGACTGGCATTTTCAGGATTGCTGCTTTTCTTTCTGATAAGACTATTCATATCAAAGTCCTTGTTATTCATTTATTTAAAATGAAGTTTTGTCAAAATTAGCCATCCGCATGACTTTGATGTCTTGTTATTTTTCTCCTACCAGAGAAACTGACTTTTATTCTGGGCATTTTTACCCAGTTTTGCCCCAGGACACCAAATGGTTTCCTTTGCTTCCCAGTGTACTGCTGCCCTCTGTCCTGTGGCAGTAGCCTTACTGCAGCTGGGTGTCTGAGAGCTTGAGCAAGTGCACATAGAGGGAGCCTCTTCTGTTAGATCACTTGATGTAGTGGGAAAATGAGGACCAACCTCTGGATGCACAAAGTGTTTCTTGATCCAAAGAGGAGATGTAGGTTTGGTAATACAATGTGAGAACGCTTAGAAGGAGGCTGGTTAAATAAGTGTCTTTTAGGCCATCTCTGAAAGAAAAGGCAGTCTGTATCTGCAGAGCAGGGAATGTGTCCTCATCTCCCCTTCAGCTTTGAAATCTACCTGTCTGCTTTTTCTGGCTCTCATAGTAGATCTGCTAAAAAAGGTCACCTCTGCCTACAAGCCTGCTTGTAAGGTTTCTGATGATCCAACAGGACGTGCCATGCTGTGCTTTGTCCCTGCATTTGGGGAGATGTCAGACAGAGGCATCCAAATACCCTCCCATAGCATAGCCTACTAACAGATCTCACCCCATGGCACAAGCATAGCACCCATTTTCTTTGGTAGAAGCAGGATTGCATCCTGAGAGGATGGAGAAGTCATGGAAATGAGCATCGCCAGTCCTCACAATCTAATCTCATCCCAGCAGCCAATGTGATTGTTAGTGACTCTGTGAATGTTAGAACTCTTTTAAAAACAGGAAAAGCAATTGTGATTTTTTTTTTTTTTAACCCTAGAGCTGGAGAAAGCAGTATGACAAGTGCCTTGGGCACATCCAGGAGGAAATTCTGAAGGCAACCAAACACATTCTTCTCTTCAAGAAGTCAATAAAATCATATAATCATTAAGGTTGGAAAAGACCTCCGAGGTCATCTAGTCCAACCGTGCACCTACCACCAATAGTGCCCACTAAAGCAGGTCCCTTCGTACGACATCTGAATGTTTATTGAACACCTCCAGGGATGGTCACTCCGCCACCTCCCTGGGCAGCCTGTTCCAGTGCCTGATCACTCTTTTGGAAAAGAAATGTTTCTTAATACCCAATCTGAACCTCCCCTGTTGAAACTTGAAGCTATTCCCTCTCATCCTATTGCTGTTATCTGGGAGAAGAGGTTGAGCCCCGCCTCACCACAACATCCCATGAGGCAGCTGTAGAGAGCAATGAGGTCACCCCAAGCCTCCTCTTCTCCAGACTGAACAATCTCAGCTCCCTCAGCTGCTCCCCATATGACATGCCCCAGCCCCCTCACGGCTAGTGAGATAATAGACGTGGATTTAGATTTAAACTCCTATAGATCTGTGGTCAGATAAAAGCTCAGGTATGCAGCTGTTCATCACAGTGCTGTTTTTCTCCTTGCTTTATTCACAGGGACATGCAGCTGTGGTATCAGCTCAGAACTGAAGAACTGGAGAACATGCATGCTGCTTACTTTGGCTATAAGGGAAGGAATAACAACAACAACAAGAAACTCAGGAATAATTCTGTATTTGACGATGTGACTAACATGGCATATGACAACCAAGGCTTCTACAGGTAAGGTTGTTAAAATATAGTGGTTTTGAATGAGGTTGTTGAAGAAATTTTAGTATTTGCAAAAGATGTGCTTAGCAGACTGCTCTGAGGAGGTCAGGGTATGGCAGCAGCACTGACCTGGAGTAGGCAGGCTCACCTGCTGGGGCAGAACATATGGGTTTCCTTGAGCTTGCTTGTGCTGTGGGAGTTGTGTTGCCCAAAGGTGGCAGAGCAGAAAAGCTGAGCACATGGTTATTCACAGCAGTGCTTGGTGAAGCCTGATGTGCAGAGAAGGTTGCGCCAGGTTAAGTAGAGAAAGGTTTTTTAATTGGCTTTGTTAAGTGGATACTAAACAGCAGCAGGTAAGTGGCTACACTGTGTGGTTGCGTGGTAGCAAGCTTGCCTAAGAGCCTTAGGAGAGGAGCTAACCAGGGTCAGCCCAGGGTGTTCCCATTCCTCATTGCCTGGAGGGCTCTCCAGAGAAACATGGCAGTCAGTATGTGCAAGGAAGCACAGTGGGATCCTGAGCTGCAGTGTGCCACTGCCCCATAAATGCCACCATGGTGGAAATCCGACCCTGTGGCTGCCCAGAGAAATGTCCATGCTGAAACGAGGTGTGCCCTGTGGTGTGAATGCATGTGGGGTGGGCAGAGGCGTTTTTATTGGTTCAAAAACACCTCTGAATGTGTCCGGATGTGTTGTCACCAGCAAAAGAAATTTGTGCCATCTGTACAAATACATGTCATTGTGCCTTTGATAACCTCTAAGTGCTCCTTTGTCATTGTGTATGGTGTATACAGCACGATCCTTGTTTGCTTTTAATTCACTGCTCCTTTGTAGAGCTTTTCTGAACAGCAATACCTGTGATTTGTAGTGGTTACCTGCAGAAAACAGCTTTATGCAGATTGCAAGCCTGCTTCCATGTCACAGTGCAGCTGGAAATTTTATTCCAATGGAGCACTTACATGAAAGCCTGATGGCTGTTTAATCAATTCTTAGCTTTGGGTGTTTTCAGAAAGATGTATAAAGCTAATTGAATGAAATTTATAACCTTAACAGTTTTCAGAAGTCTTAACGATGCAATTTTTAACTTTGGACAACTTCAGTCTTTCACAGTGTAAATGTTTTGAAAAAGTGTAATCTGCTTTTAAAATAGCAGGGATAAATAAACACAGGGCTATCTACAGGGCTTAGAGCTCTGCTGGAGTCTCAGCTCCTTCTGCTGCTTATCTACACCACTCCACAGGGCAGAAGCTGCTGTGTTATGTTTACCAAATTCTGTACATCTTTTCTTAACTGAAACGAGCAGGGAATACACAATTCTTCTGGATAAGCGGCTTCTCTGGGGCCAGAACTAAACAGTTTGATTATTTCTTTAGAAAACTGGAAGGGTGTGCAGTTCCCCAGTGGGGAAACACAGAGGGCAGGAGGATAATGCCTGCGAGCTCTGTTTTAACTGCTTGAACAGTAGAGATGCTGTGCTGGGCACTGGGGCACATACCCACCTCCTGATGCACGAGGCCACTGTCAGCCACGTCAGCTTGCTTTGCAGGATGCAGAGGTGATGTGATCCTGGCTAATGGCAAAAATCAGCTGGAAGAACAGGGGTATCATGCTGTGCACAGCAGAGGAGGGGTCTAGCTGTTTCTCTCATAAAGAACAGATGCTGTTTCTAATCGGACATAGTATCCAAACTGTTACAGGCCAAATAAAATGGTTTTGGTATTGCTCTAGGAACAAGCGTGGTCTGTTATCAGTTCTTACCACACTCTCTTTGCTCACCCGAATAAGGTCTACTTAATCAGGGTTAGTAAAAGCTGTTCCCTTTTCCTGTTTATTTCTGTTAAGTGGATATACGCAGAGGATGAGGTGTGGAAATGATGCTAACGTGTCTCGTGCCAAGTCTCAGAGACAACAAGTGGTCTGTCAGCTCTGCACCCCTTGCAGGACAGAATGGTGTGTGTCACAACTAGGTGAGGTCTCAGCATGCTGTGCTCCAGAGATGTCTTGGCTGATCATTGTTCAGATGAGAAGAGCCTTTCAGACTGATCCAGATCTTGCCTACATTGTCTACCAAACGGTTTGATTTGCTGCTTTAAGGAACAAATGTGCTTTAGTAACAAATACAATGAAAAGCCAGTTCTTTCAGGCAAGGCAAGACACAGGTTATATTTTGTAGAGTAACTCAGGAGCACAACGCTATCATCTGTCTTAGTTTGCTGATGAGATCATTTTGACTGTAATGAGGTACCATAACAGAGATCCAAAATGCTGACATGAAAGTTATAAATAATGCAGGACCTGGCTGTTGGACAACTCAGGCTCCAATGTGGTGTTCTGATCCTGTCTGCCCTAAAACGAGGTCCTCATCCCTTCATGTTTGAAGTGTGGAACAAATGTGATGAATATGTAGTTTCACTGGAAAACACTGAATTTTAATGACAGCTGCTGTAACTATAATGAGCCCCATTCTGGCTTCTTGGGTGTGTGAACAAATTGCTTTAAAATGCTGAGAAACATGTTTACGAATACCTGGGATCATTAATGGCTGTGTAGTCTCTGTTGATGCTGCTGCTTCACTTGGGTATAAGGAGCCATAAGGAGGTTAAAAATAGCAAATTTTAGCAGCAGCTCATACATGCAGGAGCTGTAAGCCTATTTGCTCTTTTATAATATTGGAATAGTTCACTAACACTGAGTAGGAACAGCAAGTTACAAGGCACAGGGTACTGGGAGGGATATGCTTCCCCCAGAAGGTTGGAGCAGAGGCAGCAAGTTGCTGCATGAAACAGGGCTGGAGATTAGCAGAAGGCTGCAGGAGATGAGAGCAGCCCATGGGCATCTTGGCAGCCAGGGTGCAATGCCTGCAGAATTGTGGCAGGATGAAAACAAGGATGTTAAATTCATCCGTCCAAGGTGAAAGACCGTCCTCAGAACTGCAGACAGCATAACGCTGCTTTGGATTAGATGGTCACCATGGGTCTCATGAGGACATCAGACATCAGTACTTAAAGTGCCATTCTAAGTTTAAGATGTTTTTGTTTTTGTTTTTCAAATGGGTAAGCTCCTGAGCAGTAAATTTGAGTAAATTGAAGTAAATTTGAGTCTGTTGCCTTGGGATCCCTGCCTGGAGCCAGGAAAGCCGGGCAGCCTGAGCCAGCAGCCACCTCTTCTCCATGAGGCGGTGGTGCCTCTGTGACAAATCACTAACATGTGCACCAGCTCACAAAGCCAGCGTGGTGGCAGGCAGCAAACTGCTTTTGGCACGTGAGTGCAGTAAAGGCAGACGTGGCTGTGCCAATGGCACAGTTACACACTGACATGCAGGAAAGGCATGGAAGTAGTAGTGAGAGTCCAAGGGAGAATGGACAGTCCAGTGTTTTCACGCTGAGGGAGAGCTGAGTTCACCTGGAGATTGACTCCTTTTCAACATCTTTATCAAAGGCATTGGCAGTGGGATTAAGTGTACCCTCAGCTGGTTTTCTGATGACACCAAGCTGTGGTGCAGTTAACACAATAGAAGAAAAGGACACCAATCTGGGGGTCCTCAGCATACTCAGAAAGTGGGCACATGGCAATTTAATGAGGTTTAACAAGGCCAGGTGCAGAATGTTGCACTTGGGTTGGGGCAATTGCAGACATTCTTACAGAGTGGGAGAGAGTAAACTGGAAAAGACGGACTTGGAGGCCCTGATGGACAAAAAGCTGCAAATGAGCCAGCAGTTGCACTCTTGCAGCCCAGAAGGCCAGCAGTAGCCAGGGCTACGTCACCAGAGGGGTGGCAGCAGGGAAAGGGAAGTGATTTTCCAATTCTACTTGGCTCTTATGAGTACAGTGTCCTGACCTGGTGCCTCCAGCATGAGAAGGATATGGAGTTGTTGGAGTGGGTCCAGAGCAGGGCCATTAAGATGATCAAGAACCTGGAGTCGCTCTCCTTTGAAGAAAGGCTGAGGGAGTTGGACTTGTTAAGGTTGGAGAAGAGAAGGCTCTAGGGAGACAACATGGCAGCCGTCCAGTACTTGAGGAGAACTTACAAACAGAAGGGGACTGACTTTTCACATGGTCTGATAGTGCTAGGATAAGGGGAATGGCTTTAAACTAAAAGAGAAGAGATTTAAGTTAGGTGTTAGAAAGAAATCTTTTACTCAGAGGGTGGTGAGGACCTGGCACAGCTGCCTGAGCTGGGGGTGCCCCAACCCCAGAGGTGCTCAGGGCCAGGCTGGATGGGGCCCTGGGCACCCTGAGCTGGTGGTGACAGCCCTGCCCATGGCTTTAAGGTGCCCCTCCAACCTAAGCCATTCTGTGATTCCATTCTATGATTCCTTTTACTCCTCTGTCAGCTGAGAGGACAACCAGATAGAAACCAGCCTCACTCAAAAAATATATGTAAAGATCAGCAAAAAAACTTAGTGATTTTTCCCCCCGCTGTGAAAGCCTTTGGAAGAAGCAACATTTGGACTATTCTTGAGGTGAATTATTTTACACAGCTCTAGGCCAAGTTATAAAGCATTCTCTGTGAAGTAGCGATCTGACTGCAGGAGTGAGTCAAATGGAAAAGCCCACGTCTCGGTAGGCTTCAAGTCCTCCTTCACATATCCACTGCAGCTGGAGCATATTATCAGCAAGAAAAAATCTCTTCTGCAGAGAAAGAGGCTAGTGTAATCTCCCACAGAAGATATTTTTAGCACCTGAATTTTTGTGCTGGAGCCCTTTTTGACTATAAGATGCATTACCAGCATGCCTGGCATAGAGCAAGTAAGGGCAATCCAACACAAAAGATGTCCAAGTGAAAAGATTTCCTCCAAAAAAGCTAACGTGCTCTTAGGAGAGGCAGCTTGGCGTTTTGAGTCGACTCAAGAAGCAGTGCACAGAGTTGGCAAAATTAGCTCATAGCTTTGGCCTCCACAGTGAAACAGTGTATTTTCTTTTTCCCTTTGATGTAGTGAGGCTGAAGTTTTCCACTACCTTTTATAAGGGGTTCCACCGGAGGTGCAAATCAGAACCTTGTGTTGCTCTGAACAGTGTCAGCGTGTGCCCAGGCCCATGGAGGACATGGCTGTTGGCCAGAGGGGGAAAGACCCTTGGCCACATTCCCATCTTTCCCTCTGTCCCATCGGGGCAGTTTCCCAGCTGCTTTCCCCCTCTAAACATGTTAGTAGAGGAGATTACAAAGCTGAAGGATCTGATGGCCTTTTGCTGGCAGCATGCTGTGGTGCAAGTTTACTGCAGTGAGGGGCAGTTCTCATGCTGAGAGACAAAGTGCTGCAGGGCTGGATGGAAAACACAAACAGTAGTAGAAGACACCAGAATAGCCTGAGTGACTGTCACAGCCCCCCACCAGGAGCTGCAGAGCGAGGGCATGCATCAGAGGGAGAATTAAGGCTCCAAAACTTCTACAGTAGTGACTTCCTGCAAGACAGTCAGGGTCCCCAAAGTGTCTTCTGCACCTGGTGCGCCATGAAGGACTGTGGGAGCTCACACTGGTTCTGCGTTTTCATTAGATTTCATGTTAGAAGTCAGACTGCCTGAGCTTGGCTGAAGATGCTGCTGTCCTACACGTCAAGCTGGATCTCTGGCTGTGCCTGAGCTCTGCATGCCGTGACCTGGCACCAGGCTGGCTGCACAAGGGGCAGAGCTGAGCTCATTTCTCCCTCTGAGCTTCCATTTCTTCTGTCTGAGCCCACAGCTGGTGTGAGGATCCAACTGCCCAGGGATGCAGTCTGCATGACATCCTTGTGTGTGGAGAGCAGCAGTGCTGCAGGAAGCAGTGCAGGGCTGACTCCACTGCAAGAAGCATCTGGTGAAGCAGCTGCAAACAACACAGACTGTGTCTCATACAGTGTGCACAATCTATGCCATTCCCTGTGTGAGGGCTGTCTGGTTGTGCAGCTCTTAGGAGGGGGGAAGCAGACTCTGGCACAGAGGAGGGGCCTTTATGTGCTTTTTATATAGACAGCTGCACTCTGTGCTGTCCCAACGTGAGATTCTCTATTCATTTCCCCTTATCAGTTATCATGGTGCTTTGTGCTCCACCACCTCTCTGCCACTGAAGTCTCAGCACCTTCTGATGCACCTATTTCACAGAACTGCCAGGCGGGGGAAGTGGGCTGTGGTTTAGTCTTGGGGCCCTGTGTCAGTGGCAGGAGTTACAGGGCACATTTCCTGTTTACTTAATGTAAGAGAAATAAAAATGCAGTGAAAGAGAAAGCAGAACCAACCAACCAAAGCCTTGCTCCTTTGTGTCAGCAATTTGCACTTATTTCTCAAATGTCAAGTATTTGCATCTAGGTGGGATATTCAGCATGTGACACTCCTGGATGCTCTCATGTTTCCAGCTAGGAATACAGGGATTCTGACTAGGATGGCTTGGAGTAGCCCAGTTGGAAACTAGCATTAGGGGGCCAAAAGGGGTCATATTTTCCCTGCTAACCTGGGCACCTCCTTGGGTTCTGTTCTGTGCTGATCAGTGCCATCCCGGATTGAAAGCAGAGGTGGTTTCAGATGCTTTACACTACCTGGCTGTAGTTCATGCCCCAAGTAGTTTCGTAACAGCTTTCCAGTGAAGGAGGAGATTTAATGTCCTCTACAAGACAGATGTGTCTACAGTGTCTGTACCAGAGCAGTTTCTTGTAACAGTGCTTTTATTTTCTGCCCTTTCCCTGTGATTCTGTGCATTCCTGTAAGAAGCATGCTTCCCGCGAGCGCTCCTGCTGGTTTCCTGCAGCCAATGCAAGCAGCACACAGAGGCTGCATAGGATGTGCACAGGATAGGGCCAGGCTGTCCAGGATGCAAGTGGACGGACTGCTGCATTCCCCTCTAACCAAGCGAGGGCTTTCCTTCTGCACCACTCACAGCACTCAAGTGCTCTTAGTAGTATTCTGTAGTTAGCACTGCATTAAATTGAACCTGGAAGCTCATTTTATTGAAAATAAAAAGAGGACATCTGCTCCAACTCTGCAGATCTTTCCAAGGACTGCACCAGCTTTTACAAACTCAATTATTTGCACCATTGCCACCTACTGCTTTTAATGCTGGAAGAGGCGAGTCCCTGTGTTACAGCACAAGCAGTTTGCAAAGTGCCTGATATGCAAATAAAACAGATTGGAAGGTTCTGTATTCTCATTAGAGCAAGCAAAACTGAAGTAACTTTTCCCTTCATGCCCACAGATTCCAGGAGGAGTGGACTCGGGACACGGCAGCTTCGGGGCGCTGCAAAGCCAGTGAGCGGCTGCCCAAGCTCAGCAGCAGCAGCAGCACACCTGAGAGACCCACAGTGCCGGGACACAGCACTGCTCTGCACACAGTGAATTCAGTCCATGTGGTTGAGGTCTATGGACACACAGACAGATACAACAAACCCAGGTGTCAGATACCTGGCTAGCTGCTGGCTGAAGTGCACTTGCTTCTCTGGACCAAAAAGAAGTGGATCAAAATAATGTGCCTTAAAGATAACGCAGGAAGTTAACTATTCATTTGAATCTGGAAGTTTTATATATTACAAAGTGGTTATTTAACAGGAATACTTTGAGGTCTGATATAAATAAAATAAGGAATATTGAGGCTGGCCGTCAGCAGCCATTCTCTGCAGTGCGCTGTGTGTTGTGGCCATGGCAGAGCACCATGGCTTTGTGTACCTCCAGAGAGGAGTGGGAGCCAGTTTGTGTCTCTGCCTCATAGAAATTCACTGGTCATAATTACACATTCATTATGCCTTCCTTAACCCGTGTTTATTGTAAACATATCAGGAAGAAAAATCCCCCATATTCTTACACAGCGGTATGATAGAATGACAGTAAGATGTTTTTTAATTAAAAGCCCCTCTTGTTCTGCAGAAGGGAGGCCTTACTGCTTAATTGCACTGCTCTGTGTTTAGAGGCCATGGATGGAGTGGTGCAGCAGGGCACAGCCGCAGACCCCCAGCTGGTCCAGGAGCCCTGGGGACCTGCTGCTGCTGCACCCAGTGAGTTTTCACCCAGCAATGACATTGCAGCCTAGAGTAAAGCAAGAGGACAGCAGGTGTTTAGGTAAATCTGATTCCGTGATGGAAATAAAAGTAGTAATGAGTTAGCAAAGCAGAATTTGAACCATCATTGCTGCAGCTTCAGGAAATTGTGAAGGACGAGGAAGGCTGGGGAAGGTGCAAAAGGGCTTTAATAAGGGGAGAGCTGAGAAGCGCGAGAAGTGCCAGGGAAAAGATGCTTCTGATAGCCACAAAGAGCGCAGGATGCATGCTTGAAGTATCAGTTGGCACAGAAGGCCACAGGAAGCAGCAGTGCAGGTGGGTGCATTCAGTGCCTCCGCGCAGAGCACCAGTCACTGGCATTTATTGAGGTGTCTAATCCAAGAGGCAGCACAGTTACTACAGGATAAGGAAACAACACCCATGCTGTCTTTCATGCGATTTGTGGCTCCGTTCCCTCTGGGTCTGTGCTCAGTTTATGACAGCTGCACCCCCTGGAGTTGGTTTTATTGTTCACATAAACATTATTTATTGTCAGGAGGAAAAGGAGCGCTGTGCAGGGAGATGAAAGCAGCTGAGAACCTATAATAGAGGCTTAAGTACACATGTTTATTAACCCTTAAATGCTTGGCAGCCAGTGATCTCAGGTTCAGGTTCCCATTTCTGCTCCAAAGGAAGTGCATTTCCATGCACATTTTATGGAACAACTGAAACACCCCGAACTGCACACACAAGCACAGTGCAGCCCCCTCCCTGCAGAGGTGCTCAGAAATGAATCGTTGCACATTGCAGGATGATAGGATAATTCCTTGCAGATGAAAAACCTGCCAGCTGTGTTTGTCAGAGTACTGCTCATTTTCTTTCCCTGCCCTGGGCTTTAGGGCTGCTCTCCTGCAGCAGACAGCTCTGCTGGGACTGCTGCACTGCTCTCCTGCTCAGCTTTGGCTGCTTGCAGAAAACTAAGAGACAGTTTTTAAGATCTTAAGCTAAGTACTGATGAGGGACTGGTTTTTAAGCCAGCTGACACACTGTTTGCTGTAGGAAAGCTTCTGATCCTGACATCCTTTTAAATGAAAATCCACTCTTTGGAACAAATGAAAGAGAATCTGTTTGCCATGCTGGGAAGGCTCAGTGTCTATGCAGTGCTGGATGGAGCCCTGCACCCTGCCCTTGGCGGAGCCCTTCCTGGGGTCACAGGGATGGGGAGCCCTCATCACAGCACAGCACAGCACTGTGGGTTTTGTGAGCCCTGGCACAGCTCTCACTGCTTGTTTTCTTAACATGCAATGTAAGTTTGATGTGAAAATCGGAGCTTCCAAATGAAAATATGTAGGTGTCCCACTCTTGTGTTTGATGGGAGGAGTTTCAGACTGGAGGTATCCAACAACAGAAACAATCACAAGTCCCTTTGGTTTCCTTGATGATGCTGACTTGGCTGGGAGGAAGCCTGGCTCCTGCTGCTAGACTGCCTGTCAGTGCCTGTATGGCCCTGAGCTGTCTGCTGTGGCTGGGAAAAGGCAAAGGATACATTTGGAGCCGTGGATCAAGGAAGCATGGATGGACACCAGAGTGCTGCCACGGAGTGAATGTTGCTTTTGTTGGGCTTTTCACGAGGGTACTGGAAATGCCAGCATTCAGCTGGGTACCCACTGTTGGGGGTCAGCCTGGGGGCTGGGACAGCTTGGGGTTGGGTTGGAGCGGGCAAGAGGCACAAACATCCTGGTCATCAGTGAGGTTTTGGAAGCACAGGAACTAGTGAATCTGCTAAACCTTAGTGTCAGATGGAAATTGCTTGCTCAACTTTTTGTTTTTTATATCTACAATGTCACACAGCACAACTTTTTAACTTTAATTGAATCCTCTGCTTAAAAGGACCAAGCATAAAGCTCAGCAGCATGCCAGGCCAGTAGCTTCTGAGATTCCTCTGCACATCTCTGTGTGATACAAGGAACCTGGGCCACTCCCTCCTTCAGTAACAGGGAGAGGTGACCTTTCTTACTTATATTTTAAGGACTGTTACAAAAAAGGCTGCTTTACGGAGTCAATGTTGAAAGGCTCTCATGCAGTCACCCCGCCACTATCCATGGCTAAGGGCCACAACCAGAATGCATCAGCTGATGGGAATGCTGCAGTTCCCAGCCTTCTCCAAGGCAGGATGTTTCAGAAGCAGTCTCCTCTTGTGCTAGCCAGTGCTAGAATGCGCTGCAGTGGGGGAAACGTGAAACTCTTCTGGCAGAGCAGCAAGCAGGGAATGAAAGTTCATCTGACATAAGGCAGAGCTGAGCAGCTTGTTCCTGGGTCCCTGGCACTTCAGCACGTCTGCGCTTAGGCTGTCTGTGTGCTCAAGGTCAAACAGCCCCATGGCCATGCATGCTGGTGTCCTCACAGGAGGTGCCTGCAGCTGGAGGCTGCGCCCATCGCTCCCAAACCCATGACTGCACAGCACCCTTCTGTCCTCCCTGGCCCCGAGTCAGGTGGAGCTCAGCAGGGTGGTAACTGCAGTGTGAGCACAGTTCAGGCAGGGGCTGTGCTCTGTGCTCGGCACTCTGCTCCATCTCACTTTAGCAGCTCTCTCAGCCTCTATTTATTCACCTGTTTTAAGGGGAGGATACCCAAATGGCCTTATTTGCTTCCTGCCTTCAGAGAATTCATAGAGTCGTCACAGAATCATTTGAGTTGGAAAGCACCTTTGAAGGCCGTCTCGTCCCACTCCCCTGCACTGAACAGGGACACCTGCAGCTCCATCAGGTGCTCAGAGCACAAGCAGCCTGACCTTGGGTGTCTGCAGGGATGAGGCACCTCCACCTCTCTGGGCAACCTGTTCAATTCAGTGCTTTAAGAAAAAAAAAAAAAAAAAAAAAAAAAAGAGAGAGAACATAATGGGCTGAGCATTTTTCTCATTTATAATTTGATTTCTATTTTAAAAGGGATCAGATATTGAGCTGTGTGGTTTTGCAGACCACTGTGAGACCTACTGTTATCCTCTGTACAAGCAACGGAGCATCTTCGTAGGCTGTGTAACAAGCCTCCTGCAGCCAGTAGCCGGGCTGGGCAGGGAGCAAAGAGCTGAGACTTGCGGCGGAGCCAAAAAGGAAGAGAGAAAAAAAAGCGCCCAACCCAACCAGCCCGCAGGCGGCGGTGGGGGGGCGGCTCGGTTCGTCTCGACTCTGCAGCTCCCCCCCCCGGCTTTTCCTTTCCTTCGAGGCCGCCCTGACCTCGGCGCAAGGAGAGATCCGTTCCGCGCCGCCCATGGGCCATGCTCTACCGGAGCCGTGAGTGCCGACAGGCGTGCCGACCCGACCCAGGGCTGAGGGGCTTCTGCTCGGGGGCTGCGGGGTGAAGCCGGGGGTTCTGGGGCTTCTGCTCGGGGCTGCCTGCATGCCGGGCACTCAGGCTTGGCGGAGGGAGCACAGCGTGCAGTTGAAGCTTGTAAAGCGCGTCTCTTCGCGTTTCCTTAAGCACGAGAGTTTGTACTGCCAGGGATCCATTCCCGTTCGGTCGTGGGAAAATAACAAGTCGGATTGCGATGTAACAATTAACGGATAAATAAGAAAACACTGCGTGCTGGGGCTGCCTCGGCAAGGGTATAACATTTAGCAAATAAAATAACTCCATAAATAAACAGATTGGGAAGAAGCAGGAGGAAACAGCCGCGGGTTTGGATCAGCCGACAGGAAATGCACGGCTGCCCTCCGCGCGGGAGCAGCTCGGGGTGGGCTGCCAAGGAGCCGAGCTCCAGCTCCGAGCTCCAGCAGTCCCTGTGCTTTGGAAGCAGCTGCTGCCTTCAGGTGCTCTGGGAACACGCGGGATTTGCGCCCAGAGCACAGGGGTTTGTGGAGCTGACTGTACCAGCCCATCGCTGCTGCTGGTCCTGAGGACGGGGCGCAGCCCTGTGCTGAGTGCCACGGGCACTGTCCTTGGCTTGGAGCTGGATGGTGACCTTAAAGGTCCCCTCTGACCAACACTATCCCACGTTAGGATGACCTCAGGAGGGGATGCCGTGGGCAGTGCTACCAGGATCCCAGCGCAGTGCTGTGTGAGTGGGGCATGGCCACGTTTCTCCCGGCACCTTGAGCCCAAGCCACACTGTGCAGGGGAGGCTCAGAGGCATACATACCATAGGTGTGAGCAGGAGCTATATTTAACCACCGGTTCCAGTATCATCATCAGAGCTGATGGGACAAAAATACCTGCAGTCAGTGCATGCTGCAGCTCTCTGGCAGTTCTGCTTCACCCTGTGCTCAGTACTTGTGGGGGAGGCTTTGCTCTGTGCCATGCTGGGTGTTTCCATTTCTGTCCTTGAGGTGCTGGTGGAGGTGCCAGGGGAGTGCTGTGAGTGGCTGTGTGACACGGACATGTGTCACTGTGTGTGTGTCCCACTGCTGCAGTATATCAGTAGAGAGGTGAAATAGCCTTAAGAGTGTGGTGAAAGGAGACATAAAGTGACAGTGCCTCTTTCTGTTGCCACAACAAGGTCAAGGTTGTGCTATGTGCTGTAATAATAGTGGTAAGTCAAAAATCTGCTTTCATGCTGCTCAGAAAATCTGACTTCCTGAAGGTAAGTGGCACTAACTCTGGATGCTTGAACCCTCTCCATTTTCTCAAGAACAGGCACCATAAACATCGCTGTATTTTGCAATATTAAAAATACTTCAATGAGTTTTTTATTCTATATTCTTAATCTTTCTAAAGGTAAGGAGGCTGCTTCCCTTTTAGGAAGGAGTTGTAGGATGCATGTCGTGGGGCTTGTTTGTTAGTGGAGGTACTCGTGGCAAGATGGGCTGCAGGAACCCTGTGCTGCAGGCAGCTCCCATACAACACAGGGAGGGAACAGCCTCAGGCTGAAGGGCAGGCAGTGATGGGTGATGCCTGGGGGTGCTGTAGAGCTTGGGATGTGCTGCCTTCATCAGAGCTGTCCCAGGCTCTGCTGTGGTGCTGGGAGCTGCTCACAGCTCATTCTGTACCTTTGCCATATGAGGATGCAGGATTTCCCCATACATTAGAAAAATATCAGATTTTTCAGTAAAAGAAAATAAGCTTGCAGTAATGAATAATGTATCTCCTTATCGTAATTTGCAAAGCCAAGGTTCAGCCTTGTTTCTCTGCAGGGTTTGTAGCCAGGAATGGCACATTGCCTCCATGAGTCAACGGGTAATTAAATGTTTATGGAATGTTGTGCTAATGAGAGCTTTAAAACACGCAGAGTTCCTGTGCTTCCTCGTGAAGAAGTTATATCCGGGATTTGAACAGGTAAACTATTTGTGGAAAAAGCAAATCGTGGCCGTGCTCATTCTGCATTTAATCGTTACAAACCTCACAGCTGGGAGTATGAATTCCTGCTCTCGGCTCTCACGAGGCGCTTAACGCCGGCTCGAGGTGTTTTTCGCAGCACTGAGCCCCCAGCCACAGCACGGCCCCAGCGGCGGCCGCACGGGGGCGGTGGCGCGGGATGGGGCGGGACGGGGCGG